TAGGGTTTCATGTTCAAATCATTATTTATATATTTTCTCCAATTTTTATACCGTATATATATTGTATATATTCTGCCTAAATATTTTGGTAAGAAAAATTATTATATTGGCTCTTTTTTATGTAGTACAGAACTGTATCTACCTTATTTTATTTTGAGAGAAGGTGATTAGGGTTAAGCACGGTTTGATTCGGATAATTTGAGAATAAAATTATAAATTAAGTGATGGCTTCGTGGATTTACGAATTGATAAATTACTCTTTGGGTGGTTTTTTGCAAATTGGCGGATTAAAAAATATTTTAACTAATTATCATACATTTACATAATATATAACATTAATTTCTATAATACTTTTTATATATATAACATAAAGTAATTTTACATATATGTTTCATATATATAACCATGAATTTGTTGTACGGGGAGTAAATATTTAGGCAAGCTCATATTCCTTTCTTCCAAGCTCCGTTTCTGTCCGATCACCTGCGTGCACAACAGCAGTGAGCTACCCGGCGGTGTGTGGCCGGAAAACCCCTCCGACGACCAAGTTAGCACACACCTGAGGATAGAGAGAGTGAGGAGAGAGTTGAGTGTAAGTGTTTCTCTTACCAAATGTTCATCTATCCAGGCATGGGGGCGCAGACTCGCTTATATACCTTCTGCGCCCCAAATCTACTCCCATTAGTCTCTCGACACATGGTGCTGCTATTCCATCTGTCAGCACAAATCCAGTAACCTCCACCTAACCAAACTGTTAGGATACCTCGGCGGAGCTCGGCAGACCGGCGGAACCTCCTCGGTTTCTCCTGACCGCGCTGCGCGGTATACCTTAATGAACCATTCGCCGAGCTCCAGTACAACCGAACTCGGCTGCATTCCGGCAAGCCAAGCTCGAGGTAGGTCGAGCCGGTTAGCCGTCGGTCTTCCTGCCGAGCTAACGCATGAACCGTGGAGCCCGTGGAGATAGGCAGACATCTCGGCCGAACTCCCAGTAAACCGGCTTCCGCACCAACAAGCCAAGTAGCTCCGTCCCACATGCCCTGTGCCTTAACCAAGCAAAACCCTTCCGGACAGGCCCAAGCTACCACGGCCCAATTGTGCTTGGCCCACAATTTGCCCGACCATTACCACGGCCCAATTCAGCTCATAAATCTCCCTCTCATTTGTAATAAATTTTATATCTTAAATCTCTCTCACACTCATTTTTACATTGATATTTTATTGAAAATTAAAAATATATATATATGTATTAACTATAGCAAAGCGGAGCGGTTCGGTTGACGGATTATAAATTTTAAAGTTTAAATCGCAGTTAGTGGTTAGAATAATGCGAATTGATACGAATCGATACGATTTTAATGAATTGAACAGTATTTTGCACAGCCATAAGTGTAATACATTAGTTGGTCCCCAGTAAACCGGCTTCTGCACCAACAAGCCAAGTAGCTCGGTCCCACATGCTCTGTGCCTTAACCAAGCAAAACCCTTCCGGACAGGCCCAAGCTACCACGGCCCAATTGTGCTCGGCCCACAATTTGCCCGACCATTACAACGGCCCAATTCAGCTCATAAATCTCCCTTTCAATTGCCCCTTAATTCCGTCCACGCAAGCGTGATTGGGATTACATGATCTGACCGGGGTAGACTCTTCATCGGTCCTTAGTTTGCAGGACATCAACCGCGCTATTCCTCTTGCTCGGTTTCTTGGCTTGCTTGGCTAAAGCCTCAACTTGCCTTCCTGGCGGGCAAAATCAGCTCGGCGAGGAACTCCAAAGAAGGCGAGCAAGGTCCGCTCTGCCACTTCCTTCTTGGCGAGCAAGGTCAGCTCGGCAAGGAACTACAAAGAAGATGAACAAGGTCCGCTCCGCGACTTCCTTCTTAGCGAGCAATATCAGCTGGGCAAGGAACTCCAAAGAAGGCGAGTAAGGTCCGCTCCGTGACTTCCTTCTTGGCGAGAAACATCAGCTTGGCAAGGAACTCTAAAGAAACCGAGCAAGGTCCGCTCCGCGACTTCTTTCTTGGCGAGCAATATCAGCTCAGCAAAGAACTCCAAAGAAGGCGAGCAAGGTCCACTCTGCGACTTCCTTCCTGGCGAGAAACATCAGCTCGGCAAAGAACTCCAAAGAAGGCGAGCAAGGTCCGCTCCGCGACTTCCTTCTTGGGGAGCAACATCAGCTCGGCAAGGTACTCCTAAGAAGGTGAGCAAGGTCTGCTCCGCGACTTCCTTCTTGGCGAGCAACATCAGCTCGGCAAGGTACTCCCAAGAAGGTGAGCAAGGTCCGCTCCGCGACTTCCTTCTTGGCGAGCAAGATCAGCTCGGCAAGGAACTCCAAGGAAGGTGAGCAAGGCCCGCTCCGTGACTTCCTTCTTCGCGAGCAACATCAACTCGGCAAGGAACTCCAAGGAAGGCGAGCAAGGTCTGCTCCGCGACTTCCTTCTTGGCGAGCAACATCAGCTCGGCAAGGTACTCCAAAGAAGGCGAGCAAGGTTCGCTCCGCGACTTCCTTCTTGGCGAGCAAGATCAGCTCGGCAAGAAACTCCAAGGAAGGCGAGCAAGGTCGGCTCCGTGAATTCCTTCTTGGCGAGCAACATCAGCTCGACAAGGAACTCCAAAGAAGGCGAGCAAGGTCCGCTCCGCGACTTCTTTCTTGGCGAGCAACATCAGCTCGGCAAGGTACTCCAAAGAAGGCGAGCAAGGTCCTCTTCGCGACTTCCTTCTCGGCGAGCAAGACAAGCTCGGCAAGGAACTACAAAGAAGGCGAGAATGGTCCGCTCCGCGATTTCCTTCTTGGCGAGCAAGATCAGCTCGGCAAGGAACTCCAAGGAAGGCGAGCAAGGTCCGATCCGCGACTTCCTTCTTGGAAAGCAACATTAGCTCGGCAATAAACTCCAAGGAAGGCGAGCAAGGTCCGCTCTGCGACTTCCTTCTTAGCGAGCAACATCAGCTCGGCAAGGTACTCCAAAGAAGGCGAGCAAGCTCCGCTCCGCGACTTCCTTTTTGGCGAGCAAGATCAGCTCGGCAAGGAACTCCAAGGAAGGTGAGCAAGGTCCGCTTCGCGACTTCCTTCTTGGCGAGCAAGATCAGCTCGGCAAGGAACTCCAAGGAAGGCGAGCAAGGTCCGCTCCGCGACTTCCTTCTTGGCAAGCAACATCAGCTCGGCAAGGAACTCCAAGGAAGGCGAGCAAGGTCCGCTTCGCGACTTCCTTCTTGGCGAGCAACATCAACTCGGCAAGGAACTCCAAAGAAGGCGAGCAAGGTCTGCTCCGCGATTTCCTTCTTGGCAAGCAACATCAGCTCGGCAAGGTACTCCAAAGAAGGCGAGCAAGATCAGCTCGGCAAGGAACTCCAAGGAAGGTGAGCAAGGTCCGCTCCGTGACTTCCTTCTTGGCGAGCAACATCAGCTGGCAAGGTACTCCAAAGAAGGCGAGTAAGGTCCGCTCTGCGACTTCCTTCTTGGCGAGCAACATCAGCTCGGCAAGGAACTACAAAGAAGGTGAGCAAGGTCCGCTCCGCGACTTCTTTCTTGGCGAGCAACATCAACTCGGCAAGGAACTACAAAGAAGGCGAGCAAGGTCCGCTCCGCGACTTCCTTCTTGGCGAGCAAGATCAGCTCGGCAAGGAACTCCAAAGAAGGCGAGCAAGGTCCGCTCCGCGACTTCCTTCTTGGCGAGAAACATCAACTCGGCAAGGAACTCCAAAGAAGGTGAGCAAGGTCCGCTCCGCGACTTCTTTCTTGGCGAGCAACATCAGCTCGGCAAGGTTCTCCAAAGAAGGCGAGCAAGGTCCGCTCCGCGACTTCCTTCTTGGCGAGCAAGATCAGCTCGACAAGGAACTCCAAGGAAGGTGAGCAAGATTCGCTCCGCGACTTCCTTCTTGGCGAGCAAGATCAGTTCGGCAAGGAACTCCAAAGAAGGCGAGCAAGGTCCGCTCCGCGACTTCATTCTTAGCGAGCAACATCAGCTCGGCAAGGAACTCCAAAGAAGGCGAGCAAGGGCCGCTCCGCGACTTCCTTCTTAGCGAGAAACATCAGCTCGGCAAGGAACTCCAAGGAAGGTGAGCAAGGTCCGCTCCGCGACTTCCTTCTTGGTGAGCAACATCAGCTCGGCAAGGAACTCCAAGGAAGGCGAGCAAGATCCGCTTCGCGACTTCCTTCTTAGCAAGCAACATCAGCTCGGCAAGGAACTCCAAGGAAGGCAAGCAAGGCCCGCTCCGCGACTTCCTTCTTGGCGAGCAAGATTAGCTCGGCAAGGAACTCCAAGGAAGGCGAGCAAGGTCCGCTCCGCGACTTCCTTCTTGGCGAGCAACATCAACTCTGGTCTTTCCACCAAAATGATTGTCAATTGGCCCTTTTCCTCGGCCTTCTGACTGACGTCTTCCAAAACCAAACTCCCTAGATCTCTTCCACGGTTGTTCGCACCGCCATCCTCTGAGCTTCCCGCCGGGATAAAGCATCTTGGCTAGAGCATTGAGTTGAGCAAATCATCAACTCATTTGGTCGGAGTACATCATCTCGGCCGAAACTTCAGAGTTGAGCAAATCATCAACTCATTTGGCCGGAGTACATTATCACGGCTGAAACTTCAGAGTTGAGCAAATCATCAACTCATTTGGCCGGAGTACATCCTCTCGGCTGAAACTTCAGAGTTGAGCAAATCATCAACTCATTTGGCCGGAGTACATCATCTCGGCCGAAACTTCAGAGTTTAGCAAATCATCAACTCATTTGGCCGAAGTACATCATCTCGGCCGAAACTTTAGAGTTGAGCAAATCATCAACTCATTTGGCCGGAGTACATCTTCTCAGCCGAAACTTCAGAGTTGAACAAATCATCAACTCATTTGGCCGGAGTACATCATCTCGGTCGAAACTTTAGAGTTGAGCAAATTATTAACTCATTTGGCCGGAGTACATCCTCTTGGCCGAAACTTCAGAGTTGAGCAAATCTTCAACTCATTTGGCCGGAGTACATCATTTTGGCCGAAACTTCAGAGTTGAACA